CCCGTTACCCTAAGGAGAACTATGGGGAAAAGCCTTAACCCCATAGTTCTCCTTTAAGTAAAACACCTTAACCACCTCCTGTCTATTGGCCGTACCTAAACAGCCAGACTGGAGCCTTGTAGATGTGGGTGGGCGTTGTAAGAGGTCCCTCCCCGCCCCCACTCGAGCGCGGCGCCCAGTGCGCAAGAGTGGGAAGACTACATTAAGTGGAAACAGCCGGCCATGGCCATCTAAATACAAGCGTTCTGGCGTCTGTAGAGACACCCTATCACTTGTATTTTGTGTGGGCGTGAACCCCCCCGATCCGGAGATCCCATCTCTGCTTCATCAGCTTCTCTGGGGGTCCAGAGGTGACCCCTAATGTCTCCATAAAGAGGACCTGTCAGGTAAATTGGCTATCACATAGGGGATAAGAAACCCCATAAGTGTAAAAAAAAAAAAAAAAAAACACAAAAAAACGACGATTGCACATATTGTGCCACACATGTTACATATCACCGCCAGCAACAAAGTGAAAGCAATGATTCTAAGGCCATCAATCATTGATAACACGAAGCTGATGAGCGGTAAAAGCTTTTAAAGCGTCGCCTATGGCCAATTTTGGGTCGTTTCTTGCGATTTTGCAGGCAAGCGCAGTTTTAAGGCTTGACGTGCTTGGTGTCTGTTTACCTGACGTGACCCACTCTTTTATATTTTAAGAAAAATTGGGGTGATAATAAAGGTTTCAGAACATTTTTTTTCTAAATTTTTGGTACTTTTTTTGTTATCTAGTAAAAAATAAAAACCCCAGTGGTGATTAAAAACCACCAAAAGAAAGCTCTATCTGTCCCCCAAAAATGGTATAAAATTAATTTCAGTACAGCGTTGCATCACTGAATAAATGTCAGTCAAAACACTGCAGCGCTGAATACTGAAAAATGACCTGGACAGGAAGAGGGTTTAAAACCTAAACTCATGTAAACACGTGTATTTAAACACAGGTGAAATTTACTCGGCAAGTATAACTTTTGTTTGTAGTTCGGAGATCAAATTCTCCTTGGTTTAAATAAAACAACAACTGTAGGAGGCCGTACTGGCCTGTACCAGCCATGGCACAAGCTCCTTCATACTGCGCAATTAACTCTATCCCCTCCCTCCGAAAGGGAATGCTCTGTTCTGTCTTACAGGAAACACAGATAAGCCACTATACCAGCATCAAGATATAGAATATTCTATTACATAAATCAGAATTAAAAGCTATTAAAAAAAAATCAGCAAATTTCAAAGAAGAAAAACTACTTGACGCTCTTGGACAGAAACATTTAGCAGTACATCATATGTTAATTCTGTGCATATGTAGGAAGGTTGACCCAGACCTGGCATTTCATGATAATGCAGCTGATCTCCTCTAACCTACCACCTCTAATAACTAACTTGCGTCTCTCTTCAGTAGATCATAGACATGTATAAGCCGAAAAAAAAGTTATTAGTGACAGAAGAATTCCTGTGCTGGGAGCTAATTGTTAAGCTGCCCATACACCTTACAACCATCGCAGTGTGCGCTTGCGCACACCGACCCGTGCGGCATGCGTCTTCCGAGCACGCCACCAACCCGCCAAAAATCATACGATTTTCAGCAGGTTTTCCAGCGCGCTCGGAAAAAGAAAGTCGTGCTACCTTACAGTAGAAGCGGTCACACGCTGCCCATACACCTGCCGGTTATTGCACAATCGCGGGATCACCTTTTGAGGAAATCAGCAGCATTGTCACTAAATGCAAGATCCACTCTGGGGGTAGTGTAGAATGTTTGGGACAACCCAAATTGGTGCCAGTACCTGACACATGCAGAATAGTGGCAGGTGGGTAATACCATTGTGTCACTTCTACAATGCATGGTATGCATTATATCCAGGACGAAGTACATCCAAAATGGTCCTTGCAGCAGTTGAGTCTGTGCTGTAATGGCAATTTTTCTCCCCAACAGCACATTCCAGCTCCCTGGGCTTCTGCTACACCTTACATAGGCACCATAATACTTGGCCTGGCAACTTATACCTGCACACTAAGACCCCGTTCACATTGAGCGATCGCGTGGTAATTCCCGCGATATCGCGGCAAATTACCGCGCGATATTGCGCTCCAATGCAATCCAATGGGGCAAAGGGTCCTGCTGTCGCGGGTCGTGTGTCGCTACAGCAGGACCCTTTTTGGAGCGGATTTAGCCGCGATTCAAGCTTGCTCAATGCAAGCTTGAATGCAACATCGCGCGGCAAATCTTGCGATGTCGCGCAATATGAAAATCGCGCGATTTTCATATCGCGCAGTGGGAACAGGGCCTAAACCCCCACTGTCACCACTGTGCTTGAACCCCCTTCGCAATGAACATGTCTGTGCTATCTGCCACTGCAGTGACACACCCTTCGTATTCAGCTTAAAAGGAACCTACATAAAAGGGCTACATTTTGAGCTAAACTGCACGCACCAGTCTTTACATACTGTGTAACAAGTGTCTGGCACCTAATGAAAATATCATGTTTGCATTGTATGCTCTATCTTTGGGGACTTTGTAGTAAAAGGCATGTTAATGCAAATGCAGGAAACAAATGTATTCCTATATTAGGTTTCCTTCTGTGTACAGGATCATATAAACATCTATACATTATGCAGTCCCAATATAAAGAATAAAGATGCATCTGGCAGTTTGCTATATTGCAAACAGATAGCATGGTGAAAACCAAATGCACTGTGTATACATATGTTAATATTTGTTGACGTAAATCCACTCTGAAAGATAAAGAACTGGAAATGAGCACAAAGGGGTTAAGCCACATCATCCTCTGCACACCTGCCTTCTGTTGTTAGGTACTGATCATGTTGTTAAGGAGGCGTCAGCATTGTAGGACTCAAAATGCACCTGTGTAAAGACCGGTAGAAACAGAAATGCACAGATGTGGAATCACAAAAGGCTGCCAATATTGAATGCTGTAGTAAAAACAACTTACTATGCGATTTGTCTTTCTAAAGGTGCCCATACACCTTACGACCATCGCAAGACTTTTCTCTTGCGATGGTCGTATGCTTATTGAAAGCTCGTACGATAGTGCAGGCAGTGGAAAAGGCCAGTAAGGTGCTGTACATAGCTTCATGAAAACATCACAGAAATCTTGCCATGGAACTTCTCTCAAGAACCCTCAGTCCTCAGTTCTTTGGAGAAGTTATGTAAATATTAAAATGCCTTGATGGTTAGATGCACAGGCAATTTAGCGATCCTCAGTGTGGGCATAAGGTAAACTCTTCCAACTGTCCAAAGGCTATAGTCATATGATCATTTTTTAACTCATCAGCCAGATTAGTTGGCAAGCGTGTCTTAGGGGTATCATCTAGCTTGACGATTTGTGATTAAATCACTTTAGAATCTTTTTTTTTTTTACTTTCCATATGACAGGTCACTGTACTACAGACAATCTATTTTTACATATTTCATTCAGACTATTTAATACACTGCCTATATATCAGCTGTATAAATATATACCTTAGTCACCTTTATCATTGCTTAGGTTTGAATTCTGAGAAGTGACCAAGTTTGCAAGAGATCATCTTGCCACATGCAGCCAATACTAGTCACTGACCAACCCAGGTACATAAGTCACAGATACATACAGTCTGACGGTGGGGATGGGCTGTGAGGGACGGGTAGCTGAGCAGTCTGCAACAATGGTAATAGATGTTGCTGTGACCCAGGGAGGGGATTGATTGCAAAGAAAAGAAAAAAAACTGCTGCTTTTCTCAATCTGCTAAAGCCAGGGGGGAAGCAACAAAGTGACACTGTAGGAATGGGGTCACTAAAGGCAGAAAGACAGAGCACCAGCTTTCTAGCAGTCAGTGCCGGTAAATATCACCTAGTAAAAACACAGCTAAGATAAGCAATAAAAGGCATAGGGCCCCATGCATTAAGCAGTGGTATGGCCTTAAGGGCCCATTCACACCACATCATCTCCAGACCAGAACGTTTCCGGACCCAAAATGCATCCTAATGTATCCCTATGCTATTTCTGGACTCTATTCACACCAGCGCAGTCCGTTCCAGACCAGAAAAATACTGCATGTCTCATTTTGTGTGGTCTGGAATGCACTGGAACTCCGGGCAGGTTCACACCATTTTCCGGACCAGATCTGGTCCGGAAAATGGTGTGAACCTGCCCTTAAATGAAAAAAAGAAAGACCAAGGCTCACATTTACACTGATAATACATGTGCTTAGTGCTTCACTTGCCTTAGGATTTTGGAGCACACGGTGCTATTAAAATAAATAGGAGATAAATAACAAAGCCAGAAGAGCCGGTCCTGTGAAAGAATTGTGACTGAGCTTCCATTCACACATAAGCATTTTTCTGTGAGTAAATGCGCAAAACATTCCTATGGGGCTCGTTCACACGTGCACACAAAAACGCAAAATGCGGCAAAAAGTATATGCACAATTTCAGCACGGTCTGTCCCCAAAAGACTATAGTTGTAGCCGCAAACATGTGGAAAAATGCGCGTCTAATAAAAAAACTGCGCGTTTTTGTGCGCATGTGTGAAAGTGCATTTTTCCACATGTAAAAATGTGCTGATTTGCAAACACCGATGTGTTAATGAAGCCTGAGAGGTCGCAGCCTTACTACAGAGTTCTCTCCGCTTGAGAACTCTGTGGGACAGCAGGCTCTATCCCATGACCTGAATTTTATGAATGAGATGTTAAATCCAGGCAACAGTGTGGAGTAATACTGTGGTGTCAAGCGGGGAGCGTTAGCCACTCTCCATTTTAGAGCAACCCCTAAGTGTTTAAGTAATGACCCACTTGAAAGACAAAACTTCTGAGCAGTGACCAGGAAAATTTACTAAAATGTGCATGCAAAACCAAAAAAAACCCAACAAAAACACAGGTAGCATTACTACCAGGCGTGTCATTTACTAAATGCTGTAGTCAAAGGAATCTTTACATTTCTAATTAATAAATCTGAGAAAAGGAGAGCCAGGTACCTGGTGACAGGTGATAAGTAGTGCAGTCCAGACGAAGAATCCAGAGATGGCCTGAGCAGTGGTTGTCATGAGGAACATAGGCTGTTCTAGAGTGAAAGGTTGCTCTTCTGGTGTCCTGGAGAAGTTTGTACTGGAAGGAGTCGCAGTACCAGGAAGTGTGGCAACAGGCAGCCCGGCAACCATATCTGTGCCCTCCTCTGGGAGGTCACTTAAACTGGACATAGTCATTATGCCCTATAAGAAGGAAAGAAATATTAAAAACAAAGTTAATGCCACAAATATAGAATGTATATGTAATTCCCAGAGATAGTTGTAATACTTTATAGGTAAAAATAAATAAGTAGTTCACTAAATGTGTAAATTACAGCACAGAGTACAAAGAATAACATAAAACAGTGTCCAATAACCCAGATACTGGGTGATGAGTCAGCTCCAAAGCAGACTCCTAAAGGTTCAGGATCCAACAGAACCTTTTCATTGTCTGAACTGTCCACACCAACATTGTTGGTTAGGATCTATACAGACTGTTCCTTCAACAAGAGATTGTACAGATAATCTCACAATGGGTATGCACTGGGAGCTTAACAAGGCAAGCATAGGAGATAGAACCTTGATAAAGACACAGGATGCAAAAGACAGAACGAATAGTAGGACCATTAACTGGAAGTGCAGAGGTCCCTTCTTGCACATCAGCCAAGAAATTGCTGATGTGAAAGAAAAATATAACATATACACATTCTTGATGTCCACAGAGGCAAGAAAGTCTCCTTGATAATATCCTCCATATCTACCCCAACACCAGACGTGCACACATAAGCATGTGACGTCACGTCCAGTGTGGGCAATCACCTACTGCGGGGTGAGACTGGCTGGACTGCTGACAAGCAGCTACCTCTTGGAGTCGTTTTTCCATAAATGCCACCCCCTCCAAACTACTGTGTGATTCAGCTGGAGGGGTGTTTATGCCTGGTGGCAGGATACATTGGTGAGGCTTTGTGGATAAGGTGAGGAATGTATTAGATACATCACTGTTATTGTTTGCATTGCTGACCAGATTTAAATTAAATTATTAGATGGTTTGCGGAAGAGATATAAGCATATGATTTTGTATGTAAAAGGAAATTTTGATATAATCTATGGTATATTAATAAACTCAGTTGAGAGAGCGATTTACATGTCTAAGGAAAGTGTTTCATCTTGATAGCGTTGCAAATTGTCTAAGTTCGGGTGACAAGCTTGTTGTCCCACCATATACTGTAACTCCATTTCTATACAAGCTTTGGTTCAGGGTGTTTTTAGTTTTGAATCTGCTCTTAGTGGATGATCAAAGATGTCAATTAAAAGCTGCTGCACTATAGACAACTATGTCCAGGTAAAGGTTTTACCAAATATACAGCGCTAATCATTCAATTAAAGAAAAAAATGGATCTATATCTGTGATGACCTATTGAAGTGTATACACCATCTTATATTCCATCTAAAAATCTAATATTCGTGATGTGATTGTAAACCAATACAAAACATTTTTAATAATCAATCAATTCGTAGAGGCCGCTCTATGCATTAGATGCTAACCTCGTGCAACAACATGACAATTTGTGCCAAAAAGATTGGGTCTAGTACTACAATTGGTAACTATCCCTCATTCCTTGCCTATAACATAAATCCCAATATGCGTGTATCAATTATTGGTGATATGTTATATATAGGAATGTCCAGATACCGAAGCTAGCATCGGTATCGGGACCGATACAGGGCATTTTGACAAGTACCTGTACTTGTCAAAACGCCCCGATGCATAGCGCCGATGCTTGCGTTGTTTTTTTTTTCTGTACCTTCCGTGGTGCCTCACAAGGTGCCGAATGCTTTTCCTCACATGTGGGGACGTCGGCGGCACTGAGAGGAGGAGCGTTGCGTCACTGCTGTGGGAGGCGCTCCAGGTGGGGTAAAGTAGGTGGCCGGCGACTGCCCAGAGGACCCCACCTGGAGCGCTGCCCACAGCAGTGACGCGATGCTCCTCCGCTCAGCCGATCATCGCCGATGACGTCCTCACATGCGAGGAAAAGAATTCGGCATCTCGTGAGGTACCTCCATTGAACAGGCACCAGTAAGTGAGGGCCTGTGCTGAAATGTGAGGTGCATTGTATTTGTAATGTGCACTGTCCATGTACTTCATATAGAGTAATAGGTTAAATCATGATCCATAGTACATAACATGTAGTTGTACTATGGATCATGATTTTACCTATTCATGTTAGCAGGGGATAACTGAAAAATTATTGTTGCAGTGTACTCTATATGTAGTACATATACAGTACATATTCCCAATACGCTGCAGCAATAGATTTACAATTATCCCCTGCTAACATAAATGGGTTAAATGATCCATAGTACAACTACATGTTATGTACTATGGATCACGATTTAACCTATTCATGTTAGCAGGGGATAATTGTAACTCTATTACTGCAGTGTACTGGACGTGTGTGCTGCATATGTACTATGGATCATGATTTAACCTATTCATGTTAGCAGGGCAGAATTGTGAGCGCCTCCCACAAGCTGAGCACCGAGACGCGATGCAGCGATCCTGCTCTGCGCTGACTACAAGAGGCACCACGTGAGGCAACAGGGATCGGAGTGAAACTGAGTGATGGAAGCCGGGACATGGCTGGCTGAGAAATCCCTTGCTACAGTGTGCTGGACGTGTGTACTGTATATGTAGTACATATATACAGCACACACCTCTACTACACTACAGCAATAGATTTACAATTCTACCTGCTAACATGAATAGGTTAAATCATGATCCATAGTACATAACATGTAGTTGTACTATGGATCATTTAAAGTCACCTGTCCCTTTAAGAAAAAGTATCGGTAATTGGTATCGGCAAGTACATGAGTGGAAGTACTTGGTCTTGAAAAAGTGGTATCGGGACATCCCTAGTTATATATTAAGTTAATATTAGTTAAATAAATGAAAGTGATTACTCTATAAGAGAAGTCAAAACCTTTTTAAATTTGTGCAGAATGGCAAAATCACTATACATCAATATCCTTATACATAAACTCATATAAAAGGATTGGATTATACTCTATGCGCAAGTGATAAATGCCACAATATCCCTTAGGTGCCAATAGTATAAACACCGTGAATAGTCCATAAAATAATAAAAATATGAAAGAAAAAAAAATCTCTGTGCAAAATATAGATCTCTCCAATCAGTGCAATAATGTGGGACCTCCAGAGTATGTCGTTGTATCGATTACATCGTATACAAAACATAAAGATATGCACATAAATATCCAATACCAGAATCTTGTAATTATTACTAAAATGTACTTTGTTATAGATCTAAAATTATTTTGTTATCCATTTAGAATATTGTAGCCTTCTGAAAAAGCAGTGTTGATGCCGCAAAATGCGTAAAGATTATTGCCTTCTCAACTTATTGGACAAATGCAATCAATTAATTTAATAATAATTAGGAGCGATTAGTATGTAGTTGAAAAGATTTTGTTTCTGTACCACTCGTGGAAGAAGAGAAGGAAAAGCATTAATTTAAAGCAGTGGCTCACAACCTGTGGGTCGGGACCCCCTCGGGGGTCGAATGACGATTTGCCAGGGGTCGCCTAGTGGCTGCCGGTAGAGAGACACTTTCTCCCGGAAAGGTCGGGACCTTTCTCTGCTCTGTTTCTTTTTTTGAAAAATCGGGGACCGCCGTAAGTCAGAAAAAAAAAACCCACCATAGAAATGCATAGCTAGATTCCTATTGGCTATTTCACTTTGATAACGCCAATAGCAAACTAGCTATTGCACCCGCCCTCTGATGTTGCCAATCAGCAGAGGGGGACCTGAAGTTCTCCATCATGTCCCCTTCTAGTGATTGACAGCAGCAGAGGGCGGGTGCAATATGTATGTATTCAAGCAAAAAAAATATGTAAAACACACTTCTAGCTATGCATTCCATTTTCCCGGTCCGCAGCTGCAGAGATCGGGAAATGTCTCAGTGCCTGTGATTGGCGCTGTCAGCTTCCTGGCGGGCTCGGCACGTGGAGCTGCGACCTCACCCGAGCCCATCCCTATCAGTGACAGTACTGCGGTGTATGTACCTCATACGTTATATAGCCACACACTTTAAATCCAATTCTTCAAGTTCCAGCTGCAGAGCCCGGTCCTGTCTTTGCCTATAGCAGTGGTTCTCAACCTGTGGGTCGCTGTGCAAGGTGAGAGTCCTCCTGAGCTCTCTCCTAGCACAGTAGTGTCAGTTCTTCTGCCACGCCTCCAGATGTCGCTGCAGCAGCCGTGTCATCCCTAAATTTTACCTTTGGGGGTCACCACAACTTGGCAAATGTTACCAAGGGGTCCCGGCCCTAGAAAGGTTGAGAACCACTGATTTAAAGAGAGATCCCAACTTTGGGAAAACACATCTATGCCCAGGCAATTTCCTTCCCTTCTCAGAGAGAAATAATGTTGTACCTTTCCGTTATTCCTTGTGGCAAACAGATCTATTACTGGCAGCCCCCAGGGTTCTACAATCTGAATGAAAAGATCCAAATTTGGGACTCTATTAAATATTCAGCTAACTTAATTTCCCCCTACGTCCCACTACTCCCCTTGTTTGCCCAACCACTTTTCAGGCCTGGTCTAGATAACCCTAACACTTTTGGTTGGTGGACAAACAACGGGTTTTGTATAGTGTACGATTTTTTACGCTCATCTGCCATTCCTTCCTGGCGCTATCTGAGGGAACACAAACAAATTCCGGAGACCGAACATTTCAGATATATCCAACTCGATCATTGGATCTCCACCCTGAGTAAGAGGAGGGATCCAAACAATTTATTTACATGTTTTGAACACATATGTCTTCACTCCCCAGAAGGCCCAAGCCTTATAACAATTCTCTATGCCCAACTGAACAGGTTGGTTAGCCATACTACCCACACCTATGTCAGAAAATGGGAAGGAGAACTACGACAACAATGGTCCTTGAAGGAATGGCAACAGATGTGGCGGAATATTGCGAAATGCTCCATCAATGTTACAAATGCCGAGGTGGCCTATAAGGTAGTAAGGTGGTATTTAGTCCCCGCCAGGGTGGCCCGCTTGTTCCCCACATCCTCGGGTACTTGTTTCCGGGGATGTCAGGAAACGGGGGATATGCAACGTATTTGGTGGAAATGTCCATTTGCCACTAGATTCTGGGTAAGGATTTTCAAAATATTGG